GGACGGGGCCTGAAGGCCCCGCTCGCCGTCCTGGAGTGGGCCGGGGGGGAGCCGGTGGACGGGGCCTGAAGGCCCCGTTCGCCGTCCTGGAGTGGGCGCGGGGAGGGGGGAAGCCTCCGGACGGGGACTGAAGGCCCCGTTCGCCGGCCTGGAGTGGGCGTGGGGAGGGGGGAAGCCGGCGGACGGAGCCTACTGGCTCCGTTTGCTGGCCTAAATGCGGCCCGTTAGTGAAGACGCTGGCTGCGATGACTGGCTCCCTCCCCTCCCAGCCACCCAGCCAATGGCAGCCCAGGTTCGCTGAGGGAGCCAGTCACCGCAGGCAGCGTCTTCTGAGAGGCAATTTTTCCGCCCATACACTAACGGGGCGCATTTTAGAATTTTGGCACCCACTATTCAATTATTATAAGGGAGAGATATTATATTTTTGGTTTTTATTTATGGAATTTATTAGTTTATTGATTATATGGCTATCTGCCTTTGGGAGAGGGGGCTGATATGTGTGAAAAGAATATATCTTAAAATAAACAGAATGTACCTATCTGCAGCCAGTTGCCGCCACATGCAACTTCTGTGTGTGTTCTAACTCAGCAGGGCCACTCGATGGCCACTAAAGCCTGCCTATCTTTTACTGGCCCTGTATGGGGAATAACTGTCCACCAAGATTACCAACACAAGGATAGTTTCAGACAGAGGTCATTTCGGGGGGAATCGCGGGGGATCGCAATTTCCCCGGGTGAGGTACGGGGGGCGGGGCACATGACGAAGCCCCGCCCCCTGCTTCCGGCCGCCCCGCTTCCGACCCTCATTCAGCCAGAAGGAGGCAGGAGAAGAGGGAGGGTAAGTTGCTTCCTCCCTGCCTCTCCCCACCCCTGCCTGCCTGGGACCAGGGAGGGCCTTCGCGGGGCTTCCCTGCACTCCCACCGGCCTTGCAGGTCCACCGCCGGGCCCCTCATGGGGCTGCAAGGCTGGCGGCAGCGGCCGGGACTGCTGGGGGCGGGGTGTGTGGCCTTATGACACACTTCCGGTGATGTCAGGGGGTGTGGCCTTATGACTCACATCCGGTGATGTCAGGGGGTGTGGCATATGCTAATGAGTTATGCTAATGAGTTCCCCTAGCTCTTTTTCTACGAAACGACCCCTGGTTTCAGAAAGTTCATTACGGTATTCAGTACTCATAGAGTAAAGCTAGAGTTTCCTTACCTTAATATTAAGTCCCTGGTGGTTGTTTCTTTTACTACAGAATAAACTTTCTTTAAAAAATTAACTGCTGTATCAGTGCAATAAATACCCAGACACATACCCTGCTGTTTTGGTGTCTGCTACATGGGTTCCACCCTTGATCTTCCCGGGAATGAAAGTGATTTCTGTTGACCCAATTTTGCCACCTTCCAGCTGCCCATCACACAAGTGTTGAACCATCTCCAGTCCTGACAGATGCTGAGGCCTTCAAAGACAGAATAAGAACAGAAATGAAGCCTGTCTGTAGTCACACATCACAAAACATATTACCACCATGTGTCACTTTTGTGGTCCCTATGTCAAAGACTGAAACATTAGACTTACCTGAAGGTCTCTTCTCTTCAGTGGGGTGAAATCATCCAAACGGGTTATGTCATGCCTTCTCTCGCTCTAGGCAGGGCTATGCAAATGTTTGTATGTCTTTCCAGGACAGAGCGAGGGTGCCCTTCCAGACATAAAACAGCCCAGCTCCAATAATGTTATATGACTCGAGTAGTAACTAACAACTTTATTAACTAGAACTTGACCAATAGCTCACTAACCCAACCATTAAAAAACTCATTCTCCCTCTTTTTTGTGTGGTGGGAGAATTGGATGACTTTGCCCCATTGAAGAGAAGAAATCTTCAGGTAAGTCTAATGTTTCGTTCTTCAGTGGGGGAAGTCATTCAAACTGGCTATGTAACCAAGCTAAGAACAGGGTGGGATAAACACTACTAAATTAGCGACCACGCCTGAAGTTTCTGGTGTGTCTCTGCCTCTGGCAGAGGTTCTGTACGATCGAAAGGACTGAAAAGGCTTCCCATTATACTCTTTCTCTTTGTTTGCTGATATCGAAGGCATTGCTTTCTTCTTCTCCTTCGTTTCCACAAGTACTTTATTCGATCCTCTTTCTCCAAATAAGAGTCGTCCTGAAAACCTTTCCGCTGACAGGTTACACTTGGACAGCAGGTCAATCTTCCTATGTTTGAGCCACAAATTCCACCTTACCACTACATTTGCTGCCTGTGCTCTGGCACAAAACTGGATGGTGTCTTGGGAAGCATTGGCTGCAAACTGAACTGCTCATTTCATTTTTAGTAGGGACCTCCTGAGAGTCAGAGGGTCTGGTTCTGTGAATTGCAAGATTGTCTGCCCACACCATGATCACTCATGAGAAATTTGAGAGGACAACAGAAGCCCTAATTGCTAATGAGGACACCTCATGTGCTTTTTTAAACACTGCTTCATTCTTTCTGTCCATGCGATCCTTCAAGACATTGTCACCATCTTTGGATAATACTGTGCCCGAGGGCAGAGCGACCAACAGAGTGCCCACCAATGGAACTTTTAAGTTTTCTATTGTTTCTTCTGGTAGAGCATTAAAAATGTTGGCAATAGAATTCAGAGTGGTTCCATTGCCCAGAACTGACAACTCAGTTGGCAGCACACCACCAAGCATTTGGCCAGCTTCGTGAAATCCCTGGAGTCTAAACTGGAGGAGGCTGACGAAAAGAAGGCTTCTAAAATGACTCCAAATTGTAGTTGAGGCTAGTGATGACCTTTTTGAGGAGCCTCTGAAAGTTCTCCAGTTGAAATAGCCTCTGACCTTGGCATCAGACTCCTCCCCTGACCATTCTCCTCCTTCTTTATCGGAGATAATCACAACAGAAAGGTTGGTGGATTGAATCTCTTCCATCTCTGAATTTGAGTCAGAGTGCTGCCTACATTTCGACTGAACCTTCTTTGGGCATTTGCTGGGGGTGGGTGGGCTTTAGCTACAGAAGCCTCCCTATCAGCCCTTAGTCCTTTGCTAGCCTTTTCCCTTTTCAGCTTCCTTGTGCTCTTAGATCTTGACAAGCCCATCTCTGAAGGAGGAGGAGGAGACGAGGAGCCAGGAATGGGGAAGAGCTCTGCCTGTGCTGTTGCCAAGACCTTCCCCGAGCCTTCAGATTCTCAGATCTCCCATCCCCCCAAGTGGTTCTTGGCTGACTCTGCTGCCCTCTCAGCCTCTGACTGGTGGGTGGATAGCTGGGGGCATGTAGGCTGTGGGGGGCATTCATGTAGGCTGAAAAAGGCTGGAAAATAGGACGCACCCACCATGTTGGGAGCTCCCACAGCTGCAGCTAGGCCCACTGGAGTATAAAGGGCCTGTATGAAGGGAAAATTGCCCGGCACAAGAAATCCCGGCTTGGGGTTCTAGGTGGGTAAAGGACCCTCGATTCTCCCCTGGAGCCCTTGAAAAATGGCCACCTCACTGCCCACAACATGATCGGCATCCCTTGTTGATCTGTCCATCACGACCACAGCCTACAGCTCTGTGCACTGGCACTCTTCCACGGTCATCTCTGGCTGTCCTGACACTTCCCTGTCAGGCAGGAGGGAGACAGGTGCTGCTGCTGCTGCCTTCATCGGGAGGGCCAAGGAGACATCCGAAAGCTCAGTCCCTGATGGTCTACCCGCCGCCTCTGGAGCCGGTGCCCTGGAACCCAGCACAGCCTCTCCCCTGTCCAAAGCCTTGGACTGGGAGGGCTTCTCCTTCAGGCGGCTTCTATTCTTCTGAGACCCAGAACCTTGGACCTTCCTGGAAGAATCTCCCTCCATATAGATCGGTGAGATCTTCCGGCCTTAGTTTTGATTTTCCACTTTAATAACTCTCAGGTAGATGGAGCTACGCTCTGGGCTATTCATACTGGAAGGGCACCCTTGCTTTGACCTGAAAAGGCATACAAAAGTTCGCAGAGCCCTGCCTGAAGCGAGAGGAGTCGTGACCTAACCAGTCTGGATGACCTCCCCCACCAAAAGAGAAGCTACTACTGGGCCACCAGTAGCAAAGTTATCTATTTATTTATTCCATTTTATCTCCGCCATCCTCCAAGGGGCTCAGAGTGGCATGCGCTCTCCTCCGTTTTGCCTAACACCAGTCCTGTGATGTAGACAAGGCTGACAGAAAGTGACCAGCCTCTGGTTACCCAGCGAGCTGCATGGCAAAGTGGGGATGTGAACCGGGGTCACCCTGATTCTAATCTGACCATTATGCCACACCAGCCCTGGGCAAGCAAGAGGGTAGCAGCTGCCGCAATCCAGAAAGCAGGCTATGGTGCTTTCGCCAGTCAGAGAGGGACTGATGCAATACTAGCACATTTGCATGCCTCTTTGTGGAGGTGGCTAAAAAGTATACTGGGGCACTATTACAGCTCCCCCCCCCTTCACAAGAAGTGGCTGCAGTACTGACACAATAGACTTTGTTCTCTGATTGCATGCTAGCAGGTCTTGGAGAAACCATTACAGTAACACCCTGGCACTCCTTCCATCCCAGGAAAACAACTGTCACAGCACTGTTGCAACTCCGATGGAACCAGATGCTCTTCTTGATGAGAAGCCTTTAGTTTCCTGTATTTGGCAGGGAAACATGCCTAAACACCAGTCTTAAATACATTCTGCGTTTGTGGGCAGCAGATTAATTGAACATACTTCTGGTGCCTAGTCTATCAGTCTCATAAACAGAAATATGTATTGCAGATTGTTGATGGATTAGGGCAGTTAATGGTCATCCACCTAGGTTAGGGGATTTCCCATCCCCTTTTCTCCTTTATGCGGATGACACATGCTTGCTTTCCCAAATCAAAGTTGGTCCTCAAAGATATTTAGACTCTTTTAACACCTACTGTCAAATAAATCTCTCTCTCTATTAATTATACCAAATCTAAGGTGACTGTATGTTCCAAAAAATGGCATTGCTATAAATGGCATATAGGGAATTCTGAAAATGAACACGTTAAATCTATGAAGTATTTGGGCCTTACTTATAATCACAATCTTAACTGGGTTGCACACCGAAATAATGTTATAAATCGGGCTAGAGTTTGGATAGCTCAAATTAAGCACTTCTAGGATTCATCTCCAGACAGGGATGAAACAATTCTCCTTTGGGTTGCCAACACGCCTGGAAAAGAGGTCCTGTATAACATCCTCTGGTTTAAAAAAAATTCCATTAAGTCTCTATTAAATGGACAGAACATTTTTCTCCATGTCTGATTCTTCTCTAGCTTATAAAATCAGGTTTTTTTAAAAAAACCACTTATGTATGTCTAGACTGGTAACCTCTGCAGACTTATTGACAAGACTGGGGAAAAGAAAAAGGAGTGAAGGATTAGAGGCAGATGGATATGTTTTTTTTAAATATATTTATTTATGAATTATATGCTACAATACATATGGTGTGTTATCACTAAAATTCAATAAAATGGAAATAAGGTTAAGCAGAACCAAACTTGGAGCTACTGGCTATGGAGTTCCCTCTCTCATATAGCACAGAAAATAATTTAAAGGCCTTAAAGAGATGGAAAAGCTGGATCTGCTTTGTATCATTTCAGTCTGTTGGATGTAGACTCAAATGATGGAACACCCCCCCCCCATTTTTAAAAAAATAAAAAAGATTCCTGCACACAGAAGTCTAGCATATCAGAGAGGGTTAGAACTTACTTGCCCAACATCTAGGGTTTTTTACAGGGAGGAATTAAAAACAAAAAACAGGAACTTTCACTCATGTGATATCCCACCTACAGTCTGATGTGGTTCAGTCAAGATACAAGTTTACCACTTCATTGAGGCCTATCAAAAGGATTTGTGTAGACACTTGTCAGCTTGTGATGTTCTAAAACCAGTTTCCAATATTTCACAAAACCCCCACAATTCCTTCCAGGTTTTGTTTACAACAATTCACAAGCTTGATAATTACCTAAGGCCAGGCTGACTCCTGCCAGCTCGGATATTTTTCACTCGCAAAGGTTTCTTGAGGAGGCAGCTCAGGGCCGTGGAAACACGCAGGATCTGGCCACCCTGCAAAGAAAAGAGATGATCAAATATTTATTAGTCAGCTATTAATATAAACTGCTGTTCTCCCCAATAGGGACCCAAAGCAGCTTAAAACATCATTCTCTCCCCTCTTCCATTTTATCTTCACAACAGCAACCTGTAAGGAAGGTTAGGTTGAGTGAGATTGACCCAAAGTCACCTAGCTAACTCGGATAGCAAAGTGCAGATTCAAACCTTGGCCTTCCAGATCTAAGTCCAATACTGTAACAACTATAACACAATTGTGCATTGTTGTGGACAGGGGCTGCCACTCAGAGCTTCATTTGCCAGGGGCCATGTAAACTAGGGTTGATCAAGGAAAGGTAACTTTTTAGGTACATGCATGACACCTTTTTTGCACTATCGAGCAATCACAGCCAACGTTTCATTTTTAATTGAGCAGCTAAGGTCCCAAGGTTGATGCCAGGACTTGACATCCCACACTTCTCTTTCCAAATATTAAGCACTACTGCTGCACTCATGTCCACTGACCCTCTTAAAATACTTCACAACAGTATGCTTGCCTTCGCAACATCCCTGTGAAGTAGGTCACTGTTATTAGGAAAGGGCAGAATACAAGATACATTCCTTTATGGGGAAATAAGCCCAGATAGGTGAGTTCTCCAAATCCTCCCCGCGGGGGCCTTGTCAGCGATGCGACTAGAACTCAGCTTCCCCCGAAGACCAAGTCCAGGGTCCCCCAAGGAGCTATGCCCCCGTCCCCAACTACCCATTTTCTCTCCTTCAAATCATTCATTCAGACCTGAGGCCTGCGCGACTGTGTCCCCAAAGGCTCATCTCCGCGCATGCCTGCCTCTCTCTTAAGCGCTCACCCCTTCCATAATGCCGCCATCTATCTCCACTGCGTCTCCGTCGCCCATGATGCGGCACCGCTGGGAAAGCTGCCACTGGGCCCTGCAAACAGTTAGGAAACCACGAGAGATCAGCCGCTTTCCCAGGCCGCTGTTGCGCCAGCAGAAGAAAGAGGCGCGGCTAAAGCTCGGCGGCCCAAGTGCGTGGAGAAGGCGGACCGAGTGACCGAGCCGGAAAGCACCGCCTCCCCTTGGCTCAGCTTCAGCTGGGAGGCGCATGGAGGAGCAGGCGCAGAGTCGGGCTGGGTTGCAGCCGTCGGTGCAGCAATGCTGGATCTGCAAGACAGCCGACCGCTCGCATAAACATTCAGTCCTGTCTGGACAGGTAAAAGGCGACTAATTACCGTGGCGCAATAGCCAACTGTCTATAGATCCAATTTACAACTTGTAACGGGAAGATTTTCTGATGGTTCGAAGATTACAATTTGTCCAAAACAAAAAAACAAACACCGTACTTTTTACTTGGTGAAGGAAAAGGATGCAGAGATGCCAAATGAGGTTTTCTGACGGGCTGCGGGAGTGGGCGGAGGAACTCCCTAAAACTAACCTGACACAACAGTGAGTGAACGTGTTATGGAAACCAAGCAATAATACAATACGATCCTAAATAAGCCTTCTTGAAATTAAACCTGAGATTTACTCTCAGGTGAATGTACACAGCTCTGAGGCCACCACACAGCGTGCAAGCTTTCAAGGCGCTGAGCACACGTGTTATTTGGACGTGACTTAAATGGTATTAGAGAAGTAACCTGGCATAGTAGGTAGAGTGTCAGACTAGACTCTGGAGAGCCGGATTTGAATCCCCCCACCCTGCCATGGAACCTTGCTGCGGGACCTGGAGCTAGTAATTCTCAGGGTAACCGACCTAACAGAGTAGTTGTAGGGATAAAACGGAGAAGGGAAGAACAATGTTGTAAGCAGCTTTGAGTCTCTGTTGGGGAGGAAAATGGGGTATATAAATATGGCAAAAAACATATGTAATGGCGGGGCCACATGGGGGAGTGTCTGGTGAGGAAACAAATGAGATGACAGGACACCTTTCATCACTTCTAGACACTTACTTAGCGGATATTGCTTGCTTGTTCCAGAGAGTAAAAGAACCATAATATCAATGCTTGTGTAATGTATCCAGTCCAGACAAGTCCAGAGACAAATGTCGAGCTTCGCTCCAAGAGACAATGGACTATGCGGATCCTAGCCCACTCCAATCCGGGGGCTAGGTTCCCGGCCGAGAGGCTATGGGACTCTCGGCCACTGTAAATAACCTATAGGGAAGTAGGGGTATGTTTTGGGTGGCGGTTTCTCGGGGGATATAAGCCGGCCTGCGAGCCGGCCAAAGTTGTCTTGTTCCTGATCGAATAAAGTACGCTTTGCTGAAATCACTCTCCGTCTGCGTACTTTTCAGCTTGGTATGGAAAAGGTCCCTGGTTCAGTCCCCAACATCTCCATTTAAAAGGACCGGGTGGTAGGTGACATGAAAGACCACGATGTTCTGAGTCTGGAGAACCGCTGCTCGTCTGAGGAGGCAACACTAACCTTGATTGATCAGGGGTCTGGGTAAAAGTCGGATCTAAATGGATCCTCATGAATTTCATATGATTTTTACATTGAAACGAAATAAAACCACCATCATATTGTAGGTCATGTGTTAGTCTACAAGGTGCACCACAAAAATCACGCATCCAGATTTGTGGCACCACAACAGCGCAAAAGCATGATTCCAAAGCATGGATCCTCATGAATTCATATGATTTTTACGCTGAAATGAAATAAAACCAACATCATACTGTAGACCATGTCATAGACTATAGTCAGCACTCCAAAAATCATGCCACCAGGAATTCGTGGCACCACAAAACTGCAAAAACATGGTTCCAAAGCATGGGTCCTCGTGGATCCTCAAGGTTTTTCAATTGAGTAACCTGAAACACACCATCAAATCACATAACATGCCCACGGCCACAGCTTGCACCAAAAAAATCACGGATCCACGGCTTCGTGGTGAATCCATTCTGCAAAAACATGATTCTGAAGCCTGGATCCTCATGGATGTTTGGGGTTTTTTCTGTTGGGACACCCCAAACATACCATTAAATCCCATATCATGTCCATGGCCACAGCCTGCACTACAGAAATCACTGTGCAACACCATGCTGCAAAAACATGGTTCTGAAGCATGGATCCTCATGGATCCTTATGATTTTTGCATTGTGTCACCCTAACATCACCATCAAATAATATGCCTTGTCCATGGCCACAGAATGCACCACAGAAATCATATGTCCACAGCTCCGTGACGACACCGTTCTACAAAAACATGGTTCCAAAGCACGGATCCTCGTGGATCCTCAGGGTTTTTCAATTGGGTCACCCCAAACACACCATCAAATCACATAGCACATCCACGGCCACAACTTGCACCACAAAAATCACAGATCCACAGTTTCGTGGTAAATCCATTCTGCAAAAACATGATTCTAAAGCATGGATCCTTATGGATCATTGGGGTTTTTGTGTTGGGACATCCCAAACATCCATTAAATCCTATATCATGTCCACGGCCACAGCCTGCAACACAAAATTCATGTTGCTACGACTTCATGGCAATTCCATGCTGCAAAAACATGATTCCAACCTTAAGGTTTTTGTGTTCGGTCACCCCAATATCATCATTAAATCACATACCTTGTTCATGGCCACAGAATGCACCACAGAAATCACATGGCCACGGCTTCATGGTGACAACTATCACCGCTGGCCCATCACAGGCAAGAGGTCATTCTGGCTTCCCCCGCATCACAGGCAAGAGGTCATTCTGGCTCCCCACATCTTGTTAGGGACTTCATTTGTGCTGTTGTGGTGCCACGAATCTGTGGATGCCTGAGTTTTGTGGTGCCCCCTATAGATTAACACATGGCCTACAATATGATGGTAGTTTTATTTCGTTTCAATGTAAAAATCATATGAATTCATGAGGATCCATGTAGATCCGACTTTTACCGTCGATCAGTGATCTGATTCAAAGGCAGCGTCTCCTATCAATCAGCTAACCCCGTGTTTCCACTTTCCAGTCAGTGCCGGTGCATCATGCCACGGCAGGACAGAGACATCAGCCTGCTCCTCTGGAATTCCTCAAGCAAAGCATTCCAGCTATGAATCCTGCGTAGCTCAGGCACTGCCATAATGACACTCTGTCCGAATTTGGCTACACGCTCTATACGACTTCTATTACCTTATCCCGCCCTTGCAAACAAAGCGACTCCGCCCCTCGGCCACTGATTGAACGCTGCGGGCAATAGGGGCGGGGCACTCTTCCACCTCCTAGTTGGCTAGTGGGTGCAAAATACGCGATCCGATTGGCTAATAAGTGGGAGGAGTAGGGGGGGTGTGCGGGCATCTTTGTTTCCGGAATAAAATGGCGACAGCGAAGGTGTTTAGGAGTTACTGTCGCGCGGTGGGACAGCTGGTAAGGGTATGGGGGAGTGGGCTTTGGAGTGCCAGACGGAAGAGACGGTTGCAGGGAATGGCCAGTGGCTTAGCAGGTCTCTACTACGATCCCGTTTGCGTCTCTCTTCTCTGCAGAGAGTTAGGAAGACCTGCGTTGAGGACTGTGGGGAAACCTGTAGTTTGTGTGCATTCGAATCCACTGATTTTTCCGCCTTGTTCCCTGGGCAGAATGTCAGCGGAAAAGACCTCTGGGTTCGGCACCAAAGGCTTTACAGCCAGTTCACACCTCGCCCTATGTCAGCCCTCACGCTTCCTTGCAAAGCTATTACGTTGGAACATCTTGTATTCAAGCCCTGCCACAGGTGCAAGACCGTCAGTCACTCATGTCTACATCCTCAGAAGCCTACCAGTGTCAATATCTCGTATACATGTGTTTGTTGGTGGTTTTTAGAAAAAGGTTCAAGAAGCTCATGAATTATAGCGGTCTACCAATGCAGCTATAAGGTGTGATATGTTTGGCTTGGCACAAACCACAGGAGATGGTAATCTCTTTCATGCTGTAACTGGATTTTCAAAGGCACCTTGTGGACTCTGTTGGAAACACTACATTGGAGTAGAAGGATATTGGTGTGATCCAGCAAGGCAGGATTTATATTCTGTTCTGTCCTGCCTTGGCCACATACATAAGATCTCTTAATGCAGATTAGTTATGACTTGCCTACCCTGCCAACTTTATTGCTGTCATCAGAAAAGGTTGATTTATTCTGCATTTCTAGAGCGTGCTTATGGATGACGTAGGGATCCAAATCTGGGTTTGTATGAATTTAGATCTGAAGAGTGGATGGATGCACATTAATAGATGCAAAATGTGGTGGTGTGATATTACATATACACTGATTTGCATCTTCCTGAATCACCTTTTCCCATATCTTGCTTTGTTGATTTCTGCACACTTCTGCTGAAGTGTCCATGACAGCTAATGGTATCTGCCATACAGTCTTAATTTTAATGATGCGTCTTTGTTGCTCATTTCTTTTATAATACCATGATTTTTTCCCACACGTTTCTGATTTCTGGGTGTGCCTTCTGTCATGTCCAATGGTTACTAAAAAGCACTGTGAAGCTTGACAGAATAACACTGGAATATCTCTGAACACTTCAGGTCTTTTTAGGGAATGAATGATTGCTAAGAAAATACCTGGTATCAGGGAATTCCTGAGATAATTAAGTTCATAATGATCCATGGATCAGCTGTTTCAACTACTGAATTCCAGTTATTCCAAAGAAGACACCATAAAATAATTCTTAGCTAATAAAATATAGCCTAATTTTATAATAGAAACTTTCATGTATCTCATATAAAGATGTTTTTTTCTTTGAAGATTCTACAGCTTTATTTAAAATGTAACCATTGGATACGTTAGAAATTCCTGGACTCATAATTTTTATCAATGCGAACATGTTTTTGTTCAGGATCCACTTGCTGATAATGTCTTTCTGAGCCCTTTATTTTCTTGGACTTGTGCAAAGTTGTTCCCAATGTAGTACTTTCAGCATAACTGTCTTCTCCCTCAGACTCTATCCTTACTGCCCACCTGCTTAGGTTTAGTAATGGTCTTGTGCCATGTGCCTTCAGACCAAATTTGTGTCAGTTCCTGTTGTCGTCAACTGGTGACCTGTCCTCAATGTACTTACATCCCATTGATGGAGTCTGACCTTGCATTTGCAGATAACCCATTCCACATATGCTATTTCCATTCATAATGAACAAGATTCATTCACATTCAAACTGGCAGACTTGAACTAAGTGAAGTTATCTGCATGTATGTCATTTTGCTTGGAATCATAGAGCTAACTTTCATCTACACACAGTTAATTTCAAGTACAGTTGTAACGTGATAATTTGTAAAGATAACTACACCTGATTAGTTAACTTTAAGCCACTGATTACACTGAGCTCTAGTGTGGACTGTGAATGCCGTAGTACTGTTTGATGGCAAACAGTGAAAGGATAACAGTCATAATACTGTGGAGTGGATTTCAACTAATACATTATTCTGCATGTTCAAATATTGGTAGCAGGTTTGTTTTTGGTCTGTTGTAATTGACATAGTTGTTATCTGGACTGACCTTGGGCTGCATGAAGTATTTAGACAGAAATTTGCTTCATAAAGTAGTACATATGCTTATAATACTGGAATCACTATCTCTCATACTCTCTTTGTTTGAGGGTATCGTGTTTACATGTGAGAAATTCTTCATTGTGTAGGGATTAATGGTTTTAAAGTTCATGTTATGCCCTTAGAAGAAGCAAACTTCATCTTTTAAAGAAGTAATTGGAATACTGAAAGTGAAAAGGCAGGTATGCATGGTATGCATTGTAATCCTAAATAGAATTACACTCTTTTTAGTTCCAGGTGCTCAGCCATGTGGGTTTGAAGCAATAGAACAAATTTAGAGTCCGGTGGTACCTTTAAGACCAACAAAGGTTTATTCAAAGTATGACCTTTTGTGTTCATGCACACTTTTTCAAATACTTTGGAATGGAAGGTAAGAGCTCAAACATAGACAGAGGCTGAACAGCAAATTAACATGTAACATGATGAAGATGTTTTAAGGTATGTGAAGACAAAACTAAATAACAAGCTAAAGTAATAAGGTCAACAATCCCAAGACTCAACAGGGATATTGGTTTCTTTACTGCCCCCTGAGGGTGCTGGAATGATCCAGGTGGGTTGTCGGAGCCTTGGGTGCAATTGGGGGGTGTTGAATACAAATAAGGGGGCGGTGGAAACATAAAGAAAGAAAAGCAGCCTTTTGGAGATAGGCCAAATACGTTTGGGAACCTATGTGCTAACTCATTCAGTCCTCACATACATGTATTCTCAAGAAGAAGGACTATACGTTCTCTGTATTTTAGTGTATTTCTTTTTCAGAATATTATATTAGAATACTGAATGTAATGCAAAGAATATTGGAATGTTTTGCTGATAGAACACTGCACCCACCTCAGATAAGAAAAAAAAATGCTGTTAAGTTACCTGCACGCCTGAGAGGAGACAATGGAAAGTCTCAGTTTACTTCTCACAATTAGAAAAGACATGAAAGGGGACCTGCAATACTCGCGGGGGGGGGGGGGAAGAGCTCCACGAAGAGCAGGAGGGGGAGGAAGCAGCAGCA